CTCCAGGAAATGGGAGAATCAGACCAGAAGTGGAAAATCCACATCTATAAATAAATTCTGTGACAGCATCTGAATGAAGATTGGAAGAAATGCTGTGTGTAAAGCACCTCGAGATGCAGCCAGGCCTGGAGCACACAGACAGACCCAAAGCATAGGGTTTGGATAAAGATTTCCTTGGCACCCTGATGTTACATCATGGGCTGCTCATCACAGGTCCTTTCTAGGATTAAATCCTACTGGTGATGGCCTTGTTTCAGGAAAAGCAGCCCTTTGTGGTCTGAAATGCAACTCTAGGGCTGGGAATGATCACTGGGAGTGATGCCCCATCCCTGGAAGTGTCCAAGGCYAGGCTGGACAGGGCTTGGAGCACCCTGGGAYAGTGRAAGSTGYCYCTSCCCATGGCAGAGAGCTGGAATGARATGAGTTTTAAGGTCCCTTCCAACCCAAACCCTTCTGGGATTCTTTSATTTTATRTCCCTGCYCATTGCAGGGGGRTTGGACTCTCAGCCCTTTAAAGGTCCCTTCCATCCCAAAGTATTCTGTGATTCCATGATGCCTCTGGTGGACACRGATCCCATTAACTCCACTGCTGTTGCACACAAAGGGCCTCAGAGCAGCTCCACAAAGCCAAACCAGAGTTCTAGGAGAGCACAAGGGGCCCATGGGACCCTGATATTCTTTTGTAAAATACAGAATCAAGGCATGAGCAGGAGGCAGTGCATGAAAAATGCTGAGAGTGTGAAAAACAGCACGGGGGCTCAAGCTGGGACAAGCTCTGGTTGGACTATTCAGAATTAAAGTCCCAGTATATTTTTTCATCAGCTGGGTGGAATAAATGACTCAGCTGATCCAACAGAGCCAGAGCTCCCCATGGAACCTTCAGACCTCCCTGGGCTCTGCCAAGGTGCAAGTGACTGATGGAACTTTTCACTTCGCTGATTGTGTCTAAGTGGATTCCCTGCAGTTGACTAAGGAGCAAGTTTGAGGCACTTCTTTAAGAAGCCAGATGAAAATAAGGTATTGAAAATCCTATTTTACACTTTCAAACACAAATGCAGGATCCATGAAGTGAATGAGCATTGTCTGGGCTGTTTCTGATGCTCYCTGTCACTATCACTAGAAAACAACATGGACTTGGCAGCTTCCTCTCCATTACATGATACAGGAATCCACTACTGGTTTGAGGTTTAAGTGATGGGTCTTCAGAARGCCAGACTCTGGACTAGAGAAGAGTTTTGTGTCTAGAGCACAGGACAGGGACTGAGGTGTCAGACACCTCTTCTGGCTCTGTCTTCTCTTCACACACGACTCTCCCCCAGTCTCCTCATCTCTCTGTACTCCAGATCTTTATCTACAGGTGGTCAGTGATGTCTCCTCTTACCTGTTTGGTCCTGTAGTTTCAGACACAGACTCCACAGCAGAGGATCTTCAGAGCTTCTCTCATGCTATGAAACCCCAGGATGAAGAGAGCAAAGCCTCTGTTGATGCTGAGATTTCCAAGCCCTCCCAGCCTGACTGTGCTCATCATTTTGTGATGGGTGAGAAGTTTTCCAGAGGTGTCCCAGCTCTGCAGCAGGGAAGGGTCCAGCCTTCCTTTGCTGGGTCTGCAGCAAAGCCTCTGTGCTCCTYTTCCAGACCCATTTGTGTTTTTAGAAATCAATTTGCAAAGCCTCAGCCCCAGTGGCTACAAGCAGAGCCTGGCTGTCTGTGCAGCCTCCTCCAGGGGCTGCATCTCCAGGGCGGCAGCTCTGCTCAGCGTGATGCTGTGAGCTTGGACTTGGGGRTGGATTTACACCTGGGAGAAGAAAATCCCATCAGGAGACTCTTGGGATCCTACAAGCCAAAAGGGAAAGGGCTGGGGATGGGATCAGTATGACCACAGGTCCCTGGGGGGAGCTCCTGACACAYGGCAGAGCCTTGGACCCCRTTTTCCAGCACTCCTGGCCCCACMCTCTCACCCGTGCTCAGCAACARCATCATYCCAGAGCATCCAGTGGCTCTCACCAACACCACCATGGCCACTGCAGCCACAGGGAGCTGACAAACCCCACTGAGATCTTCTCCTCATTTCCTACACCCATAAGCCAGGCAGACAGCACTYTTCAGGTACCCAAAGCCACAGCCTTCCTGGGGAAGGCACAGAGGTGAAATCACACCACGGTGAGCTGCTCCTGGGGATGCTGGCCCATGGGCACAGCTGCCAGAAGGACACCAGATGGTGGGAAGTGGCTGCACACCCACCTTCAACCTGCTCCCCTTTTGTTCACAGCTTGGGTTGAATAAGGGGGGGATTAAACTGATATGCCTTATCTCAGACCTCCCAGGGATCTCTGCACCGGCCAACACAAACACAGTGCTCGCTCTGAAAAAAGTCACATTTGCAAGGAGTAAGTTCCACAGCTGGAGGGATGATGGCATGATAAATTTGTCATATTTTTAAGCAAAGATAAGCACTGGCTGCCTGAGACTAAGCCTCACTTCAGCTCTTCTCTGCCGAAACAAAACCAGCACTTCTATGGCACGGAGCACTCTGCAAACAGCCAGGATCGGTCACTACATTAATTCAGCACGGGGTTAAACCCCAATAACTCCTGCAAGAAATGCACAAACCAATGGCCAGGAACTCTGTGTGCAATTCCAGGGTCTCTCTGCGTCAGCACTTCACTCCCAGCTTCCCAAAAGCAGCCCCTCTCCTCCTGGCCAGGATRGTGAAGAGAGCTCAGGTCTATACCAGTAAAACCCAGAAAAAACTGAAATGGTGGGAAAAAAAAACACCACTGGCTGTCAGAGACTAGAAAGGGACTCATTCCGTCTGCTATGCAGTTTTGTTGTGTTCTCTTATTTTTAAATGATTTAACAGTTTGAGAATTTTGCTAAGTGCCTCTCCAATCACACAAGGTTATGCAGCAGTTTGCCACCCCCATGTGACAAGGACATGCACGGGGAGGAGAACCCTCAGCCCCTGTGCTCTGTGTAAAATGCTGAAGTTCAGCCTTGAAGAATAAATTCCTTAATCCATCCATGAGTATTTTGTCACAGATATCACTTTTACCGTCCACAGGTTTATAGCCCCAGTATAAATTCCTATAAAATTCACATAATTAAAATACTTTGATTTTTTTTTAAACAGTTGGCTTTCTTCCTACAGTTTCTGAGCAGAACACCCCACGTAGGATCTCAACAACCCAAGGAAAGAAAAATTTCCCAAAGGCCTCAGGACAAGAGCAGCACCTAGGGAAAAGCAAGTGCCTGTGCCTCCACAGGGTCAAAGCTTTGATTTCATCATTGAAACGCAATGCGAAAAGAAGCACCAAAATAAACAGCTCCATAAAGCAGCAGGAACGCAGCAAAGCAGTTGGAGGCTCCTCCAGCAAGAATGACCTAAATCCAAGAGGCATTTGTGCAGATGCTGCTCAGCTCCACAACACCCTCACAGCCTCCAGGACAACCCGGGATGCACCGAYGGACAGGGAAGGGAACCTGGGAGAAGCCTCTTTGTTTTTAGTAAAGTCACAGTGATTTTTTAGTTGGTTTTTTTTCCCAAGGTACCCTCCCAGAGTGGCTGCCCTGCACCCAGGGCTGCTGGGGGGGCCCGAGACCCCCTTTCCCACCCGACCCCGCAGCAGCCGGGGTTATCGATGGAGATGTGTGTAATTGCCCTGTCAGGCAGCTGAAAGGCGCTCGCCTTTAGCTGATGCCACTTCAAAATGAAATTCTTTCTTTGGCATGGCTATGTCTGATATGCAGGCATCAAAGGGGAGGCAGCAGGTCGCCGATGCCCCAGGCCACACATTTCCCTTCTAAAGGCAGGAATGAGAGTGTCAGCTCGGGGCCGAGGGGGCCCCGGAGACGCAACACCCACCGCTCCTCCGTGGGGTGCGGGGAGCCTGGGAGGATCCCCCGGCACCCAGAGACACCCGAGGGCAGCGGGTGGGACCCTGTGGCCTGAACACCGCTGAGACGGAAGGTGGGAAAGCCTCACCGGCACAGAGGAGGTCGAGGGTTGGGTTTTTTCTTCCCGAGAGAACCACGGGGCCGCGCTCGCCRCCCCCCCGCAGCTCCCATCTCCTCTCTCCACCTGCACTCTTCAGGGAGCCAAGGCTTTTGGCAAGCTTTCCGCTCCACTTTTTATTGGTTTCAACTAAGCTGCCCCTTTCGGAGGGTTGGAAAGCTTCAATCATTAAAGGAAAAGAAGAAAACAAAAAGAAGAAAAAGAAAGCATCGTGCACCCTTCCCTGCTGCCCCTTCCCACTCCCACGACGGCTGAGGACACGAGCCACCCACACCACCCATTCCAGGCACAGCTCCCAATTTTCCAAGCCAAACACAGCCCCTCCAATGCATTTGAGGCAGGGTTTTCAAGGCCCTGGATACCTCCAACTGTACCTGCTCGGCTCCAATCACCTTCCTGCTCGGAAGCAATTTAGCAAGGACACAGCACAGGTAGCTATTAGCTAACACATATTTAACTGCTCCAGATATCTTTTTTTTTTGGCATTGTAATGGAGTGATTTGATCTTCAAAGGACCCGTGGAAACCTTTGAAGCTTCCCAATCTCCAGTGGGGAAGGGAGGAGGGGTGGAAAATGTTAATAGTTTTAAAACCTGGGGAATCCTGAAGTCAGAGAAAGGGTATAAAACCCAGCGGGTTTAGCATAAAGCCCTCAGGTAAATCTTCACCTTCTTTTCAAATGCATTTTTGGTGGGTTGCTTTGGGAAGGCTYGGGCCAGGTTAGCAAGGTCGGCTCTATTCCCAGCGGCTCTTAAATCTCCAGGGACCCTCATCGCCCACGTGGCACAGCCCCAGCACCGGGGGATCCGCGGTACCTTGGCGAGAAATAGAGAGACTAAAGTTTGCAAAGCCTTTAAGTGAAAAAAGGGTCGGGGAGGGAAAGGAGTGGAGGAGGAGGGGGTTAAGAAGATAAGGAGACAAGAGAAACTCCCGGCTGCACTCCCAGCCAGCMCAGCCTCAGCAGCACCCTGAGAGGCGAGACACAAAATGCATTTACCTTTAAAATAATGACTCATTTTATTTTTTTCTTTTAATATGTAGTTATAAATATATTTTGTCAAAATATATGATCATTATTGTCAAAAACATTTGCACATAAAGTCATAAATAAGGTCAAGGTGAACGTTTAGTTTAGAGAAGAGTCCAGCTATAGCAAGCAGTTCTGGGGTGGGACGGAAGGGAGAGAGAAGGGGAGGAGAGGGCGGCAGGGAAGGGGGTCAGCGGCACCCGCACCCCTCCACCACCATCTCCTGGTAGTTTTTCAGGACCACCTTGTCATACTCATCCAGGTAGAGCATGGAGATGGCGCTGAGCTCCGTGGGCACGCAGCAGGCCTTGGGAATGCTGGAGTTCACGGAGTTCACCAGCGTCTGCACGATGGCGTGGTTGGTGGAGTTGAGGTGGTCGGCCAGAGGGAAGGGGCAGTCCCCGTGGCAGTAAAACGCCTGGTACCCCGGGGGCGCCACGATCCAGTCGTTCCAGCCCACGTCGCTGAAATCCACATAGAGGGCATGGCGGCGGCAGTTTTTTTTGTTCTTGCGGGAACGCTGGTGCTTGGGGCTCCGGCGGGCTCTGCGGGTCAGCGCGTGGCCTCGCCCGTCGTGCCCAAAAGTGACCAGGAGCGGCCTGAGCTGCGCCCAGTCCCCGCGCCCTTGAGGTAAAGATCGGCTAATCCTGACGTGTTTGCCCTGATGAGTCTGTGCGTGGTGCAGGTGGGTGACCTCGATCACCAGCCCGTGGTTCGGCTGCTTGTCCTTGGTCCACCGGATCACGGCCGGGCTCACATCAAAGGTCTCCCAGCGCGTCACGTTGTGGTGCACCAGCCGCGTGTCCAGCAGGCGCGTAATGGCCTGGGCGCGCTCCGACAGCGGCTTCATCACTTCGTAAATGTTTATCCGGTGGAAGCCCCTCTCCCACGCCGCGTTCGGCTCCTCCACCTGCTCCCGGTACAGCCGCAGCTCCGCCGAGGAGATCACCTCGTTCTCCGGCACGCTGCTGAGGTTGAAGACGAAGCGGATCCGGGGCGCCTCGCTGGGACCCGGGACGGTCTCTAGGTGCTCTGGAGGGGAGCAGGGAAGGGGGGAAGCRGTAAGACAAGCAAACAAGAGCACGTCAGCCTCGGGGCACCCTGCAGCGGCCCCGGCACAGCCACAGCTCACACCCACGCTTCACCTGCCCGGTGGCCACCGGTTCCTCTCCGCTCCCCCACGCATCCCGCCGGGCCGGACCGTAGCGCTCCTGCCCCGGCCCCGGCCCGGCTCCTGCCCCGGCCCCGCTCCTGCCCCGGCCCCGCTCGCTCACCCACGCCCGGAGCAGTCCACCCCTTCCCATCTCGCCTCCCCATTCAGGGAGACTTTTTCCCTTCAGCTTTCCCCCTTTTGCTTTTCCTCCCCCAGTCTCTCCAAAATGATCTCCCCGGCGAGATGCGGCGCCACAGAGCACAGAGGTGCCTTGTTACGGGGGGGCAGGGGGAGAAAGAGAAGCAAATTCCAAAGCAGTAATGATGCGGCTGGATTAATAATTCAGATTTACTTTGGAAAAGAAACATCCGCTAGGAAACATTTGGATCAGATTACAAGGGTCTATTGAATAAACCTTATAAACACACAGCTGTAAGTATTAAATTCGAGTCGGGGTTTGGGGGAATTTTTTTTTCTTTTTTTTTTTTTTTCTTAAGAGTAAAAGCAGGCAGCAATTGCTTTGATAGTTCAAAAGAAACACTCCAGGGGCGAGATCCCGCCCTCGCTTTACTCCCGCATCCGATCCAGAGCCATTAAATCCACGCGAGCCCAGGGAGTGACCCCGAGGCAGAGGCACCGAAGGAAACTCACTGTTGTCAACAGAAGCAAAAGCACTTCAAAATATGGTCAAGCTCGGGTTAAGCACAGGATGCTGGAAAAAATACCGAGCAGCACGCCTGTCACCCACACACGGCAGGCTGGGGGTGGGGGGGTGGTTTTCCTCCCATAAATTTAGGGCCGGGCACGTCCCGCTTCTAAAGGCATTTGTGAGCTTCCAAACGCAAGGAAATCCCGATCGCTCCCGGGGCTGGGAATTTACCGCCTCCCATCACTGACCTTCATGGTGGAAACTCCTCACGGTGTTTGCCCGGCTGGTCGATCGCTCAGGGTACTGCAGGCTAATTTCCTGGAGGCTTTCCTCCTCTTCCCCGGACTGGAGCCGATAGAGATCCAGCATGTAACTAGGGATGACGGCTGACTTGCTGGGCTGAGGCCGCCTTCGCAGCCCAAACATCTGCAGCAGAGTTGTTTCGAAACCCCGCAAGAGTTCATGGCTTTGGGCAGAGCGGCGTCCGGATCCGGCTTGTCCCTGAAGCTCTGCCACTTTCTTCCTGCCGGTCTCAGGGATCAGGCTAGCATGGTTAGTACCTCCTAGAAGGACTTGGCATAGTAGGATGACCATCAGCATTCGGTTACCAGGAATCATGGTGTCTCTGGGGTTTAAAAAACGCGACAACAAACAAGAAGGAAAGTCAGGATGAGAAGCAAAACCCCCCTCCTCTTCCGAATAAACTTAAAAATAATAATATAGTAGTAATAATAATAATAGTAAATGGCGAAAGGACGTGGGGAGCAGCCCCCATTCGAGCGACAGCCGGCGCGCCCCGGCGGGCAGGGACCGGCCACCGGCCCCGGGCTGCCCGCAGTCCCGCAGCCCCCTCGGGCAGGCGAGGTCCCGGCGCATCCCGGCCCCGCTGTCCCGCAGTCCCCTCGGCCGGGAGGGTTCCCGGCGCATCCCGGCCCCGCTGCCCCGCGGGACGGGACGGGAGCGGGACCGGCGGCGGCGGCGCCCCGCGGGTCGGGAAGGAACGCGCGGCTCGGCGCGCTCCGGAGCCAAAGGTTCGAATCCCGCCGCCGGACCCCGGGAGGGAAAACCGGGATAAGAACAACATAAAAGTTTTCTCTTTTTAAAAAAAAAAAAAAAATTAAAAAAAGAAAATAAAGTTAAATAAAGCCCCGCGATGAAAACAAAAAGCGAGAAGCGAGGCGGAGGAAGAAGAGGGCTGTACTCACTGACAGCAAGCAAGGCATATCAGCACAGTCCATGATTCTGGAGAGCCAGCCCGGACCCAGCGCGCC